ATATCAGGAACAATCCTCCGAATACGTATGACAGCTCCACAGAGGCTCCAACCCTGGAGGAATATAAGAGCATTAACAAGAGTCACATCAATATCAAGGACTCTAGAACAAGCCACCCGGCTTCTTTTCTCTCTCTTACTGGCTACGAAGACAAACTGGTGCTCGACGCACATTACGAGATAGTTCGCAATAGGATGGCCGGTGTTAACGAGAAGAGAGAATACATTGAAGGCTCAAACCCAGACAGCGTATCGCTGAACCTAGTGGTATTCAACTGGGGAAATATGGATCGAGCGCCGGTGCCCGCAGGGAATCCCAAAAAGAAGCTCAAACCTGAGAAGGGATTCGATTATCACCCTCTTATTGACATGTGCTTCAACAATTCAGCTCATATTACCCTCGTACTCGAGGCAGGAGCACTTGCGTCAGAGTATTCAATCGCAACCATGCGAAAACACGAATACAGGGGGATGCTAATCCACTCTCCTCCCAAGGAGCCTGAGGCACCCTCAATGTACATTGGAGTCAAGGGTGACCCAACAACAGACATCGCTCTCGTCCATCACTTTTACCGTCATCGAACAATGAAGCCTAAGAATGGTGGTCCCAAGAAGCGACTGTGGGCATGCCACGGTGCGGTATGCCGCCTCACCTTTGGGTACCACAGTACCATACCAGAGGCAAAAGAATGGGTCCACCCATATTCTGGCCAAAGGATGACGAGAGACGAGTTCATGCAGATTATCGGATATGACCCACTCAAGGGCAAAAATCCTGACAAGGATGGACCCACTGATGGCTCTTACCTCTCACCAGAGGCGTGCCTGACACTGTCGAACCTCGACCCCTCGCCGATTCTCTGTGAATGGAACGGCCATGTCGAGGGTGATGAGCCACCAGAGGAAGACTTTGAGACATACGCAGAGATCTTCTCACAAGAAGCATCTAACGATCTTGACGAGATGTGGTGTACAAAAGGGCCTTACAAGGTCATCACCATTGCGATCGTCCATTTCAACTCGTTCATGACTCATAAGGAAGAACAGAGACGCGAACTGGTGAACGCGTTCCTCAACGAGATTCTCCCTTTTAAACCGGATGTAATAGCGGGAGATCTCAATAATATTGCGTCGAGGCTCACCTTAAAAGGTGGAGACGTTCACCCGCGAAACAGTTTGTTTTCTCTATACCTGGAGAAGAAACTTGCAGCATTCAACAAAATAGCAGGAAGGCACTCACAAGTGCGACATCTTTGCTTGAACAACTCCGACCAGCACAGACTGGCACGTGCAGATCGTCTACCGGCGGACCCGGCGAAGAAAGTTGCTGACCTTGACTGTATCAACAGTTATATCCTTGACTGGAGTAAAACGCCGCACACGGCGTCACCTAGTCCAAGAGATGTTACACCTGCCGCCGAAAGAACATACTGGGAGCGAATCTCAGATATGTGGCAGGACATGAACAATAACAGGGATATTGATATCCGTCTGTTTGTCTCAGTCAAGCAGTACTATTCAACTTTTTCTAACCTTGACCTATGGTTGAGTCCCTCTGACAAAGATTGGCACAGCCCTTTGGGCTTCACGATACAACCAATCCTTACAAAAGGGAAACACAACCGGTCAGATGCCCAGGTCCAAAAGATCGCTGACAAGCGAAAGGCTTACAAGCAGCGTAATGCTGAATACTGGGGTTACAACGATTCATTCGTTTACTCATCCGGCAACAGCTGGTACGACAAATCGCAACCATCAGGTAGCCATCACAGATATGGAAGATTCTGGGAGTGGCCACAGCCTGAACGTCCCAGCGAGCCTGAAGGTCCTCCTCCAAGAAGGAACCAGGAATCATCGTCCTCTTCACAACAAGATCTACCAAGATCAAGGTCCAGGCCTCAAAGAACCAATATTGTTGACAAGCTCAACATGTCTTTGGAAGAGCTGGATGGACTAGAAGAAGAACCGTCACCAACAAAAAGTGACATCGAAGAACACGAAAGAGAAACATCAAACTTGATGTCTGCTCAGAGAGATGAAGAGGAACAAGAGGACGAATCCTCCAGCCGGAGAAGAAGAAGGAAGGCATCGCGTCCACCGTCTGCTCCGAGCGGCAAGGCACTCAGAACAGCTGCTACAGCAGCGGGATTGTCGGGCTGGTTCGGACACCGCAACCGAGGTGGAGCAAACGCAGAGTCTATCAAGACTGATGAAACTTCACTTCCAAACTCACTAACCAGTGAGCAGGACTTCTCCGTCTTCAGCATCGCGTGGAATGTGTTCTGCTGCTAATGGGCTTACACTGGATGTGGAAGCAGATTACCAGGCCTCCTATCAGATGTATGGAGCGCCAACAACCAAAATCAAAAGCAGCAGCGAACCAAAGAGTTCCATTCCTCGAACCCGAGGATGAACCGCAGACGCGTGAACCTTTAGGACCCAACAGGGTCAATTCCGGAGAAACAACTGATCTGCGACCTATCTGGCATACTTCCCGAAGCGAAGTCTACCATCTCTCAGACAGCTGTTACCAGCTCAAGCAAGCAAGAGATGTTTGCAAGAAGGTGCTGTGCAAAAACTGCCTCCATGCAGTACAAGTTGCGGAGATTCGCAGGAACGATCCTTTCCAAAGAGGTGATACACGACCACGTGGCACCGAAAGAGACATTGAGCGCTTCCAGACCTACGATGATGCAAGTAACACTCCTCATATGACACAATTATTCAAAGATGCCTTGCATGCACAAATGGCCGAAGAAGCCATGCAGATTACCTATACATCGATCCCCAAGGGATCCTCGGCAAAGGCCAGAGGTACATCTGCACTCTCAAGTGCCGCATCGTCATCAGCGCCCAAGGCAATGCCACCAGGGCCTAACAAGGCAAACATATCACCTCCACCTAAGAGTCCTCCGCCAAAGGCGAAAGGAACAGTACCTTCTGATCCTCCAAGACCAAAAGGTCCTACCAGAAGAGGAGGTCAAAATCGGCGCATTCAACGAAAGGCAGCTAGAGAAGCCCACAACAGTGGACTCTGCACCTATGCAGACGCTGCACTTAACGAAGCCAATCAAGGCCAGGCAATTAACGTTACGTGCCGAAACATGGCAGCAAGACACGTCAGCTCTATCGATGCAACGGTAGAAGCAGCCGGCCAGTTTACACAACGCGTGCTACAGCACGTAGAAACATATGATGAAGAGGAACCGTGGAGCACGGAGTTCCTACCAGTCGTGGAAGTCCTATTCAGGAACTTAAGCGGCGACGAAACAACTGTCATACATGACAATCAAACGGTAACTATGCCTCTTGCGAAATACACAGACCTCCTCAGAATCGCACAATCATTGCGAAGCTCTATCCAGAGAGACAAGGAGGAAAGGAAGGAACATCTTGACACCATCCAAGATACTCTATCCAGAGTGGAAATCCTTCTAACAGCACTGAAGGACTCAAGGACAGTCTTTAACCAATTGGTCCATTCCTCACTAGAGATAGAGCGAAGAAATAACAATCTCAAAAATGTCCTCGAGACACTCTTTGACGACCAAAGCTCTGAGGAAGACCAGTCAGAATCTGACAATGAAGAAGTCCTAACTCCTTCTGCAGCACAGTACTGGAATAGCCTTTATGCCCACGCCTTATCTCCTTCAGGAGATGAAAGTGAAAGATCATGGGCGTCCTCAGACGGACAGCTTGAAAGAAGAAGGGCTGAACGGGCAAAGGCTAAGCAGCCACAACCGGCAAAAGCCAAGGCAACTCCAGTCAGCTCACAAGCTGCTCCAAAGGCCGAGCCAAAGGCGACAACATCCAACCATGGATATGATACTGCAGACGCCGCCTTCACCAGGGCTGAGAACAGATTACTCGGAATCTTTTCAAGTTCCGAAGAAGACCACTCAGACCCGGATGAGCCACATCCGAACGTCTATGCTCGAGCCTATGATCCAACCCTGGATCCGAATCTGAGATAAGAAAATTCTCAGAGTTTCACAACAGTGAATCACAAGGCTCTAACAAGAGCACAATGAAGGGCTGCATAATTCGGTAGAAGAACATTACCAGACCTGATCTTGTACAGATGATCTCTCTGACCAACATGCATGAGTGTGTGCAAAAGGAGTGACCTCAACAGTGTACTTCAGTGCTATACCTAGCATAAACAATATGCTGTTTTTATCATGAGTCCAAACTCCGCAACTGTGACAGTGGGCATAATAGTATATGTGTGAATGTGCGGCCATGCTTCCGGTAAAAGAAAATTAGTGTCTGTTTGAAACCATAAACCTCTAAAGGGGTAGCTCTAACAGGTACCTACAGCAATGGCTGCATGCTCATACATATACATTCCGCTGCCCATTGGCTCACAGTGGTTTTACCATATTGAGACAAGACAAGCTCTCCTTGCGTAGCAAGACAAAACAACTACTGTCCGTGTGCAGGGCGCTGCCCTTTGATCCTTAGGGAATAACTGGTCATACACCTCCTCACAAGGAGTATCCCTTGGGGTGTATCGGCACAGGGGGGAGGGGGGGAGGGGGGAGGGGGGAGGGGGGGGAGGGGCGGTGGAGGAAAAAAAGAGGGGAGGACGCCTGGGAGGGGGCGGGTAGGCCCGCAAATCAAAGAAAATGAGGGGAGGCCGGGCAAGGGGGTGGCAAACGAGCGCAAAAACAGGGTGTCACCAAACATTTGGGGTGCAGGGAGGAGGATTAGGTGGACGGTACCTGAGGTAACCACCAAAACGCCTGGGCCTGTGGCCTCGGCGGATTGAATCGCAAAGCTTCGGGTGAGCACCGTCCACGATGGAACCGGTAAACTGTGTTGTGATGCCGTGCTCAAGCTCTGCAAACCCAACCTTGGTCTCGTCATTCTCGCGGCTTGTTTTCAGAGGAAGTCCGTCATGTCAAAATAGAGACGCGCAGGCACTAGGTAGGCAAGACGAGCTGACATTTTTTTCGCATTTTTCAACGGTGCTTGGTTTCTTGTATAGCGGTTGACGTCATGGCCCTGCTGATCTTCCTGATGCTCACGGTGGCGTGTGCCTGGCCTTGCAGCTTGGAGAACACTTTCGAAGCGGCTACTTATGTGAAGACCGAGAAGGAGCTCAACGAGAAGCTTGGTAGTACTACGGTTGATGGTATAAATCCTGCATTACCCATAATAAGGAATATACCATACTTCCCATAGTTTAGGGTCCTTAAGGTAATGCAGGATTTATATCATCAACAGTAGTAGCGGGAACCCCTGAACTCTATCGTGAACTTGGGGCAGGGGCTCGGGGGCTCTCGTTGTTCAGGTGGTCGAATGTTTCTTGGTGCAGGCCGGCAGACGTGGCCTCCGGAATGGGTTTCAGGGCATAGACTTGGGGTTTAGGGTTTGCGGGTTTAGCGGTTTAGGGGTTGCTTTGGCACTTCAGTACGATTTTGTACGGTGACTGCTTGCTGCAAACAGGTGGTCGAGATCAATGTCTTTGAACATCCTAGCTCAGGGCGGCACGTTAGATAGTAGTCTGTGGGATGCTCATTATTGTTATTATCAGCATCATTTCTACGATCAATGCTACTACTCCCATCATGATGACTATTGTGAGTACTACTATTGTAAGAGTCTCAAGAGAGCACGACTGTTGACATAAGGAGCGTGCTCGTTGTACACATAGCTCGCGTGACACCGAGGAACCTGCCAGCTTACTTTCATTTTCTGGAAGATCTCCCGACGACGGTGTCGCACACTTCCCAGCCTTCGGCTGAGATCTCTTACCCAGAGAGCTGCAGGATCTCTTTGGATCCCAGCCTTGCGGAGCCTCGCCTTAGCATTCCCTTGATTGTATCGGCCCAGCAAAGAGCTCACTCTCGGTGGAAAACGGAGCTTGATACGGTATGTGACGGCAAATATACACACACGCATGAACATACGGTCAGGACGGGCTGTGATGGCATTGCGCAATATTCGGCGACAGTTGTGCTGAAAGCTTCGTTCAATCTTACATCGAGGCAATTGCGGTGGGAGCCGACAGTCATTGAAAATGAGCGTTATTCTGGTGCATGCCTGGAATACTTGAATGCCATTAAGTATTTCAACGTGCATGACACCATCGACACTTTGCAGCGCCGCATGCTGACAAGTTGGAATCGCCACGACCGCCAGCCACGACACGTTCTGCACTTGCCTTTCGGAAGTCGCCTGTTTTTTGAGTTCCAGACTCCCAGGATTTCACTCCAACCTGATAGAGTCCCAACAATATCTGGATCTATCCTTGCATGTGCCCAGGACGATGCAGCAGGCTTGTTTGCAGTAAGTGAGTTTCAACAGGCCCTGCGCAAGCAATGCCACGAAAGGGAGTCGTTTACTATGCACGAGTCTGTCAAGGGTGAGCCTGTGACGCTCGACTCAATCCGGAGCCTCGTCTTTTCTTTCCGTGGGGACTCGCACGTGCGCGTTGCGGTCATGGAGGCCACGGTCGAAATCGAAGAGCATGCTGGATCAGTCGAGGCCTCACTAAGAGTCCACGACCATGGCCCAAGCAGCACCCCGACACCTTTCTGGCTCCCCTGGGTCCCATCCTTTTTTCGTCGCTTTGTGCCGGATTCACGGCATCCAGATGTACGATTTCAAGGCAATGCACAAGGCCAATATTTTTGGCTGCAGATGGATGGCCTTCAGGAAATCTCGCTTGGAAGGGGGACAGCTCCTGGCAAGCAGATACTTCTTCAGAAGACCATGCGAGCGAGCCGGCAACCTTTGTCAGAAGTTTCCCTTTCCAGCGATAGCAAAACAATATGGAAAGTGAGCACCGGCAAGCTCGAGCGCATCTGTGGCCACAGCATGCCCGCAACCCTTTCTCACGGTAACGGGAATGTTCACATGTCTGCACAGCTCTTTGAAGCAGTCCTCGGGGTGCAATCGAGACATCTTACGGGGCACGCATCGATGGCTTCAACGGCCGTCCGTGATGCAAGACTAAACTACAGCTTCGAAATGGGAGGGATCCAACTTACAGAAGTTCCGCACAATCCCACGGGCCATGATGATTCCTTCGTGCTGACGATGGAGGGTTCGAATACCACTGCACGTTGTGATGGGAGAGCCGAGCCCCTGCTGGCGGCGTCGTTGGATCATTTCCAGGGGGCCGTGACCGTCAAAGGCAAGAAAGGAGTAACTGGGTCGCTGTCGGTTTGGGTGGCCTTGAGCATAAGGGATCGGCTCACTGTGCGGGGGTTGCACTTGAAACATCCAAGTGTCCCGGTTTCGCAATCGGCAGAAACTGCTGTGATGGCTCGCTTTGTTCCTGATGTCAATCAGCGTCTTCAGGATCTGGCACTGACTCTTCCTGAGTGGCTAGCACAGTACATCCCATGCAAGCTGCATGAAGGACATGGAAGTTGTGAGAACATCGAGCTTGGATCGGCCCAGCATGACAGGGGCTTCGTGGTCTTTTCGGGAGATGTTGAAGCCTCTGAGACCTCCTTCGTGGCTCCACCAAGCAGTCTCTCATTGACCCATTGGTGCTACTGGTACCGCCTGGTCTTCAGGTGCTATGAACTGCATCCGAAGCTTGCAACGGTGTTGCTTTTGTTGGTTTCGCTGGCGTTGCTTCTTGCAAGACGCCAGTGGTCGCCCATGTGCGCAGTCTCTGCGCTGGTGCTGTCAATTCTTTCGTTGAGCTGGAGTCAGTACGGCCCGTTCAAAGGGTTCACAGCTTCTGCACTTTCGGCATTGGGCACTCCCCAGACCACAGGCGTGAAGTTTGTTGCTGAGCAATTCCAGGATAGGACGGACTGTGCTGTCCTTGTGATTCTGGTGGAAATGATGATCTTGCCGTGGTGGGCAGACATTTGCGCTTTCATCTGGCGAGGTTTCAAGAAGGCAGACTTGAAGGAAAGCCATAAGGAAGCCATCGCCCATTGGTGTTTCAGTGCAGCGGTCGTGCTTGCGCAGTTCTGGCTCTTGGTTGGCATGCCCATGATGCTTTTTCTTGGCCGTGAACTTGCGGCAGTGGTCGATGACTACGCGGAAACGTCATTTCCGAGCTCCCCAATGCATCTTATCGAGGATCTGTTCAATGTGCGCCAGGCGCAGATCCATCACACCACTGGAGCGCTGTTGGGTTGCAGCTTCACAGCAATGGTCGTGTCCCTCATCGGGCTGTATTTTGTCTTTTTCCTTTCAGCTTTGCCTCCCGGAGCGTTCCTTGGAATCCTAACCTTCCGATACAAACGCGGCGCCGGAAGTTGCTGTCCCAACGTCACCGCCACCGCCGCCACCATCCCACCCACCATGCCCACCACCCCTACTGCAAGCACGGCAACCTTGTGTATCCTCATCATCGAGCTCCTCTCTAATGCTGCGATTTTGGGGCCTTTGGTCATTGCTTACCAAATCCTAGGAGGTACCGCTGAGTGGTGGCTTGCGTGGGGGATCATGGGAATTTGCCGACCTCTGTTTGCAGTGCCATACATCGGGAGTGACATGATCTCGCTTCCCATTCTGCCCATGGGGTTTGCATATCTTGGCTGCTCGCTTCTTCCTGCAGTGCTCCTGTGGATGTCGTCCAACAATGCTCTGGCAGCTCTCGGCATATCTGGAGCGGAAGCATCGCTGGGGCAGTTGAGCAGTTGCTTTATCTGTTCCATGTACATGGCGAATGTCTGGTTTGTTGCAAGCAGTGCCTACATGTTGTTGTACGACACTGCTTACGCAAAGAAAGCCGCTCAAGTTCTGGCAGCTCAGATAAAGCTAGCCACCTCCCACCCCGAGTGGGCTTTCGATTCCAAGTGGGCCAAGTGGATTATGAAAGTGTTCACAACTTCTTCTCGCGCGTTCTCGGGGATCTCAGAACAGACTTGGAGTGCATGGTGGGAGTCTTTCTTTCCTTGGCTCGTGTGGTTCCTGGAGATGGACGCGGTGGTCTCATTCTTCTATCATCTCATCAAGGTGATTCAGCTAGGCCGGTTGGTGCTAAGTGTTCGGGGCATGGGAACCACGCCGAAATTTTGCCTGAAACCCTAAACCCTAAACCCTAAACCCTAAACCCTAAACCCTAAACCCTTAGAAGTGAATTCGCAGATGAAACCTTAGGTCTCGAGTGAGAATAGAATCAAGATCTAAACTCCAAACCCATAGTTGCTGCTTCAGGCTCTCTTGTTTCTATGTTGAGATTAATTTGTTCAGACATGTGGCAGTGCAAGTGATCCGTGGAAACTTTCTCGATCTCTTTTGCCCAAAATTCTGAGAAAAGTGCCTGGCCTGTGCCAGGCCAGGCATCAGGACCAGCTGTTGACAGAGCAGGCACGGGAACAGCTTACGAAGGATGCAGGAACCTGGGTAAGCAGCACACTGGGGAGGCAGGGTTTCTGCTGAGCAGTAGCCGTGTAGACAGAGGACGGTCAACAATTGTGGCTTGCCCGCGGCTTGCCTATCCGGGCTGCCTCGGATCAGCTAGTCCATTCAATGGGCGGGAGCAGCAAGCAGCAGCAGAACATGCATGTGGACAAAGAGCACGTGCCGTGGGCCAGATGAGTAGCTGGCTGTGGTTGGGTCAGCATGCGATGCAGGTATATCCCCCGGCAAGCGACCAGCTCAAAGCAAAGGAAGGAGCCAGAAGCGGCTGATTCGTTCTGAGGACTACCGGCATCTACTCTACTCTGCTCTACTTCTTTGTAACTTCCGCTGTTAGTTCGCCTGGGCTCTGCCTGAGGAATTCCAGACTTTAGACCGACCGTTGTTGCAACAGTGCATGCTTCACAGTACCCAGATCTTCCAAGTCTTTTAATTGAGGTATATGTTTCGAATTATGGTAAGGTCCCTAATATGATTCTGGGTATATTCCTTAATTAAAGGATGTTGGAAGATCTGAGTAATCGCCTTGGTGGATTGGCACCATTCACCCACACACAATTGACTGCTTGGAGAACGGCTCATTCCTACTTGGAGGATCATGGGACTTAGTAACTAGGGTTATAACGTAACTATACTTATAACTCCAATTAGGGCTCGTTTTGACAGCCTTGAGCAGGTGTTCAGTCCTCTTTCTTCAATGCTGAGATGAGCGGCCACATGCTTTTGGTCAAATGGTTTCTGACGTCCAACGAAGTGTTTGACAGAGATTTGAGGGAGGTGCCGAAAGTTGTCTTGAGCGGGGCCAGCTTTAGTTGGTGCGGCTTTGCCGTCCTTTTGAGCATCTGCTTGCTCGCCGGCTGGGTGACCCTCCATTATGCCCACGCTGGTCGTGGACCCGCGAGACGGCAGAGGACTTTGGACATGTGCACTATGAGAGCGCGGTGCTGCATGGAGTGGTTAATGGCACCCTTTTCAGACGGCACGTCGAATGATGAAGCACATCGAAGCTTGTTGAGTGACTGTGAGGGCAAGGAGGATGAAGAGTGCCGACAGGCAATCGCAAACTATGTTCGTTTGTGCTCGGTGGATTGGAAGAGAGCAGAAACAGAGGTGAGACGGTCCTGGGCTGGCATTGCTGGATGGTTGCACGTGGAATGTGAGGAAACCTGGGGGGAGTACAGGCAGGAGTTCTTGCTGTTTGGCCTCTTACATGGCCTTCTGGGCTACGTGCGCACACTTATGTGGAGAGACAGCTTCCCGCATGCTTGGGGCCTCTTGCAGAGTCGAGTTGCTATGCAGGTGGGTCTCCAGGAGTTTCATGCATACCTTGCAAAACACGGTTTCCAAGCAGGCGGCAGCAGGACAGTCCTTGACGACCCATTCTTGGCATATGACTGGTGCCTGTCACTGTCCTTGGTGTTGCAGTCACTGCTATGGATCCTGATTCTTGCCTCCCTGTATTGCGAGTTCAAGAGCCGGAAGCCTACCAGCCAAGCTTTCAGCTTCGCCGCGGGTGCCGTTGCGGTGATGTCGGGGTTGTGTGTTCTCGTCCCGAACTATGCCAAGATGACCAATCTTACTGAATCTTTCAGGGGCTGCGGGCCGGAGTTTGATCGCTTGATGGAGTTTGCGGTCTCCGGCACTCTTGGCATGACCTTTGCAGTGCCCCTGGGTTTGCAAATCTTCGGGGTTTTGCTCACAGTTCCCATCTCCGCCGTGCGAGGCCTGTGGTTTGTCACGATTCGGCCAGAGATGCGCAAGAAGCGTGCGTTGCACACCGGGATGTGGTTGGTAGCCTTCCTGATTCCATTCGTGACAATATTCCCACTGCTGTTTTTCAGTCAGCTCACTGAAGACTCGCAGTCCCAAGCGATCATCTACGTCTTCTGGCTCCTCCCCTCCCTCCGGATCATTAGTGCCGGAAAGACACGAGGTGAGACATGGTTCTATTTTGGGTGGCTCACGTTGTACTGCTTTCTGGTGGGCTGCTTCCTTGGACGCCAGTCCTGGATCATGAGTCTTGACGTCCAAAGTGTGATCGACCATCTGGACGGACCCTGGCTTTGGTCAATGATGCACGCAGACTTCTGTTTGACGAATGTGATCATCACAGATTTGGTTTGTTTTGTTCTTGGTGACATGGAAGAGGATGAGGACCTTCAGGCGGAGCTGGAGCTGTCCAAAGCGTGCATGGCAGTCTCGAAGACGCCTTTCGGTGTCACCGGGGAGATGGAGAGTCTTCCGGGCTTTCAATCCGCAAGGGTTGCGGATGGCCTGTCGATTTTGGACTTTGGTTCTGAGGCTGAAGCTCGGGCAGCGTCCAGTCGTAACTTGGCAGACGGCAGGCTAGTGTCTTTAAGTTCACTCGTCAGTGTAGCCACCTCGCACTGACGACTGGAACAATGGCTCAAGTAGCAGATGCAAGATGCACAGTTCCATTTTCCGTGGCATTGCTGAGCTCGCATGCCACATGCAGTTGCCGAATTCACAGTAGCCCAACAGATGGGCACTTGGAAGTTACAGTCCCTTTGGATTGGCATGTAACAATATGTTGTGAGAAAGCAAGGACGAGTCGTAATGACCTTGCCTTCTGACACAGGCCTGGCTTCTCATCGCCTCTTCCACGCCAGCCTCGTGTCCGCTCTTCCTCAGGGGCATTGCGACAGTTTCATCCTTGATCGATTGTTCAGTGGCATGAGTCATAGCCACTGAGCCGCAGAGTGGCAGCTGTGCGCACGCATAGGTTGTTCCCTGTGTGTGTCAACAGCTGCTTCAAGCATCGCAGCCAGTACAGTATGTTCCTTCGAGCACATGACAAGCTTGTGTTCTTTGGACAGGTGGCTTCTTTTCCACGAGGTGCAGAGTAAAGTCTCTCCCTTGATGTTGCCACATGGGTGGTTGTCAAAATTATGGTCCCTTTTTGGGTACCCTAAATATTAGGTGCCGTATTCTAATAGGGACCCAAAAAGGGACCATAATTTTGACAACCACCCACATAGGTGTCGCTGAGGCTCGACCGAGCTCGGATAATTGAGTTCCGAATTCATGTTGCGCAGCCACAGAAGCTGGCGGACTTCGATTAATGCTGACTCAGAAAGCTGCGGCCGAAAGGATCCACCGTGAAAAGATGGGGCCGAGTTGGCTTTCAGCAGGCTGAGGACTCTGTCCTTTTTGCCGCAGTCTTCTTGCTTGCTTGCCTGTGTTCTCCGAGGCCGAACCCTAAACCCTAAACCCTAAACCCTAAACCCTAAACCCTAAGCTGTGTTCTCCGAGGCCGAAGCCAAGGCGGCAGCCTTTGCAGCTGTTGAGCGCCTGGAGCGTTTGGAGCGGCTGGGGCGGGGGCCTTCCGGCGAAGGTCTGGGCCCCTTGGCTCTGCATTCATCTGGGTTCTTGTTAAGGAACTTATGTTAAGTTACCATAATAGGGATCTATCGTAAATAATAGGGTTTCCTTATTATGGTAACTTACATTAAGTTCCTTAACAAGAACCCAGTCAAACGGTTTGAGTTTGGGTTAAGGGTCCAGGGCTCAGGGTTTAGGGGTCAAGGTCGAGGGTTCAGGGTTGTGGGCTTAGAGTTTAGGGTTACAGCTTAGGGTTGAGGGTTTACCCAGAGAACCCAAAACCCCTTAATTAAGGAATATACCTGAAATTATAGAGGCCTTAGTACTATGAATTGAGGTATATTCCTTGATTAAGGTGTATTGGGATCTCTGGGTAGGATTTGGGGAGCCGTCGCATCAGGAGATGTCGCAGCAGAGCCGCCAAAGCGCCCGGTGGAGCGCAGGCATCTGAAGATTCGGACGCTTAGAGCCCAGAGCCTCCAAAACCCCTTAATTAAGGAATATACCTTATATCATATGAAGGATCCATAATATGATTTAAGGATCTTACTATACTTTAAGGTATATTCCTTAATTAAGGGGTTTCGGAGGCTCTGGGAACACTTTCGCGCAGGTTCAGTCTGCAGATCTTCCTGCTTCGGTTGTCCAGGCCTCTTGAGACCCCAAGACCTACTTGGAGGGTCATGGGACTTAGTAATTGGGGTTATAGATAAGGTAACTATACTTATAATTACTTATAACCCCAATTAGGGTACTTGTAACCGTACTTACTAAGTCCCATGATCCTCCAAGTAGTGTACATCACCCTTAAACTGGCTACGCTTTTCGAAGACCTTTATACTACACCTAACAAAGTCATCCCTGTGGTGCTGCTGAAAGCAGTTTCTGTAGCACCCCTTCCCCAAAGAGCCCTGATAGAAACCATTCTAGATTCTAGCACTCTCATAAGACCCTGTTACCAACCCGAACCGTCACAGCAACCCTAAGTCGACTTGCAGTAACCCTCGTTGCGACCTTCATAGGAACCCTTATCGTAATCTTTACACGGCCCCTTATAGCAACCCCTTTAGTCGCCCTTACAAGGTATAGTAGCCTTCATAGCAGCCCTTACTGAACCCAGTAAACCCTAAACCCCACACCCATTACTAAAAAAAACATTGTCCATTACCCGAACCCGAAACCCTAAATCTCTCAAGGGCCTTGACTGCTTTGCACCCGTAGGCCCCAGAGCCCTGGTGCAGCCGTGGCTCAGGCCGGTAGGGGGGCGAGCAGACTGAGAGAGTCAGAGAGAAAGAGAGAGAGAGAGAGAGAGAGAGAGAGAGAGAGAGGGGGTTCTGAGGGTCTTGGGGATTTTGGGCAAGGTTATGGGTTTAGGGATGTCTTCGTGTTTTTAGGGTCTAGAACCGAAGGTCTATAGGGTTTGCGGGGTTTGTTTGAGCCCGGATCTTGCTTGGTCTCACAGGTGGGTGGTTGTCAAAATTAGGGTCCCATTTTGGGTCCTTATTATAGTACGGCACCTCTTATGTAGGGTACCCAATTAGGACCATAATTTTGACAACCACCCAGATCTTGCTTGGTCTCGCAGGTGGTGCCACCTGCTCCGAGCACCAGCTCTGCCCAATACAATGGCGGTGTCCGCAACACTGACAGCAGCCTGGCTCATGTCACGCAGAGCGTTGTCGACGTGCGAAGCGGGTATGTAAAAATCTCGTGTTGCAGCATCACACGGCCAGCTACTGTTGTAGCCGGCACCCTAAACCCTCAACCCTCATCTCATGGCATGTTCTGGGCTCAGGTGTGCGGTCCCCGCAAGCTGCAAGCGCACCTCCAGTCACCAGGACGGCTTCAATTCGATGGATGAAGCTGGGTCATTCACGAAAGGGGAGTTTCAGAAAGCTGGATCACTGCTTGGAGGGTCGGGGGACTTAGCGACTGGTTATTTTAGGGACATATAAGTACCATAACCCCAATTAGGATCCCTTTTAGGGGTACTTATAAGTCTACTTACTACCTGCTTACTAAGTCCCCCGACCCTCCAAGTGTGTTTGGGGGTCTACATATCAGACAAGGAGTCTGTTACTTAGGCTTTCCTGACCCTAAACATCCCAAAACCGAAACCCAAATCCTAAACCCCAGAGACTCCAAAACTCCTTAATTAAGCAATCTACTGCAAGTTATAACAGGTATATTCCTGAATAAAGCGGGTGTGGGAGTCTCTGAGACTTTGGCAGGCTGGACATGGAGACCGTGTCTGCGCAGCACCCGCAGATGCTCGGAGTCCTGAAGCGCCGATTGGTCCGCGGCCGAGGTTTTAGTGGAGGCCGTGGTCTCAAAGCCCTGCTGAGGGTTTGGAGTTTAGGGTTCGGGTGCCCTACCCAGAGAGCCCAATACCCTTCAATTAAGGAATATAGCTTAAATAAAACGGGGATGAATATTGTGATTAAGGGTATATTCCTTGATTAAGGGGCCCCTTGGGCTCTCTGGGTAAAAATAAACCCGCCACCGGTCTGGAGCTTGGGGTTGATGGTGCGGGGTTTCAAGGTTTGGGGTCTGGACTTGAAATTGTTAGCTTTAGTTTCCACGGCTTAGGCTTTAGGGTTCTACCCAGAGCCTCCAAAACCCCCCTGAATTAAGGAATATACCTTAAATCATATTATGGATCCTACTATACTTTAAGGTATATTCCTTAATTAAGGGTTTTTGGAGGCTCTGGGTAGGCCATGCACCAGCTTCAGACATGCTGCGACTGTGGATGGCTGAGGACCAGTCGAAGAGGCTTGCGGAGCTTTGGGCAGGGCTCCCAGCGATGTCAGCCACGTCGTACAGAGACTTCTTCTTTTGAGTGAGCCGTTTCATGCCGCAAACCGTAGACCCTGAACTCTAAACCCTAAACCTCAGACTCCCTAGACCGCTCAGGTACAGGGCAACATTTCCGGAATTGACAAGGTGCTCACACTACCCCAGGACTTCCGGACTCTAAACACGAAGGTTCCAGGCGCGGGGGCACATCAGCCCGTCGCTTTCTCAGCTCTTCTAGTCCCAAAGGGTCCAAGTAGCATTGTGGTATATACTTAGACCCCCAAAATACCCTATATAAGTATATACCATCATGATACTTGGACCCTTAACCCCAAACCCTAAACCCTAAACCCCTAAACCCTAAACCCTAAACCCCTAAAACCCTAAAGCCCTAAACCCTAAACCCTAAACCCCTAAAACCCTAAAGCCCTAAACCCTAAACCCTAAACCGTGTGTTGTGCTATCTGGGGGAGATTTGGAGCTCTTCCGGTCTTGAAATCGTGCTGGGACGTCGTGCGGAGTGAGAGGAGGGCTTTCTGGTTTAGGGTTTAGGGTTTAGGGTTTAGGGTGCGCGAATGTTTGAAGGACCAAGACGTGCTGTGCGACTTCTGCAGATCACTGATGCAGTACCTCGATGCAAGACGGGGCTTTGGACCACAGTCTCTCTCAGCTGTTCCTGTAGCATACAACCCAAGCCCGAAACCTTGCACCTTAAACTACTAAACCCCTAAACCCTTAAACCCTAAACTCCTGAAGCCTAAGTCCTTCAACTCAGTGTGCTCCTTCGACCTTGATCTGCGAAAAAAACAAGGAAAGACCTGGGCAGCGTGCTGAACCTGGATGCAACTTGTCATGAAGGGGAAAGCGTCACAGGTTTAGGCGGGGTATATAAAATATAGCATGTGCTACATAATGATACATAGCATCTATATATATATATGTATAGATATAGATATAGATGTAGATACAGATTTAGATATCGACATAGCGACCAGAGACAACCGAGTAACGTATCTTTCCAAGATCCATGCCAGTGGACTCTTCGCTGCAAAGGTTGCAGATGATGTGACAGGTTTCATATGGGAGTTTCCGAAAATTAGGGGTACCTTATTTTGAGGTCCTTATAGTAAGGATCCTATTATTTTGGGTACCATATTAGGGTCCCCTATTTTTGGAAACTCCCATATGGGTGAACCCGGACCTTCCAACATCCCTTAATTAAGGAATATACCTTAAATTGTAATAGGACC